TGTTCCACAGACAGATAGTGAAGAACCACAGAGCTATGAAGAAATATTACAGGATGAATTTTCGAGCAAGTGGGAGTTGACAAAACTTCCGCCAAGTAAAAAGACATTACAAAACAAGTGTATGTATTGGCGAAGATTGAGCATGATGGCAAGGCTGAACTTGTTAAAAAAGGCTTTCAGCAGAGACAGTATATTGCCCATGCAGTGAGAGTTGTAAGCAGAGACAAGAGTAATCAAGAAAATAGCTTAGAGGTGTAAGGCTATATGGACCATGTTGATATGTTGACTGAGGGTGTTACTCTTTAAAAACTGAAGTTGTGCACAACTTCAGTTGGTCTTCTGGAGTGAAGACAAATGCTATGAGTTGCAGTGGAGGATTCATGTTTGAAGAAAAGGGTGACACTGCCAGTGCGAAGACAAATGCTATGAGTTGCAGTGGATGATTCATGTTTGAAGAAAAGGGTGACACTGCCAGTGAATGATATCAATTTGAGAAAGAAAACTTTGCAGTCAGTGTACTGGTCTCCAAGTGGGAGATTTGTTATGTTGGAGCCCGGTCTGACCGCTCCCGCTTCCGCTCCCCCTAATCGCGAACCTTTCCCGTGAAGTTCCCGCTCCCGTCTCCCGTTTCCCGTCTCTCGCTAGGTTGTGAATTGTTCCCGCAAACAATCTGTTGCTTCTCGAAGAGTCGTGTCTCCCACTCTGTCGCGACAGTTCTACCTTCCTGTTCATGATAAAAGGCATCGCACGACTCATTCAGTTTTTAAGTCACGATTTTTGTGTTCTTCTTCGGAATTCCTCGGGATAGAGGAAGAGAAGTGCAAGCAGTAGTTCATTGCGACAGAAGAAAAAAAGAAGAAGAAGAAGAGGAGGATTGCTCTCCCTTGGCTTCTTCTTTGTGGCTTGTGGCAGAAGAGACATTGTGTTTATTTATCTTGTAAGTTTATCTTCTTCAGTGTATCTCAGTGTAGAGCTTCTTTGGTATATTGACCAGAGGAAAATATGTTGAGATTTTCATACCTATTTTATACTATTTTTTATGATATTGCACTTTAAAGAAATGTATTTTTGATGTTTTATTGCAGGAATGATGAAATAGGGTCATTGGAGCAAAAAGAT